TCGGTTCCTGGTACCGGAGAAAAACCAAAAAAAAAATAAAAATAAAAAAATACACACTTCCAACTTACATACATGAATAAATAAGAACAACCACCATTCCTACTGTCACCACCCGAAGCCAGTCCTCTTCAGTCTGAAACCAGCCTCACCAATCCAGGTACCACTCTTAGGCACCAGGCTCCTTCCTAAATGGATGGAGCTTTCAACATGACAGTTCTTCCTCAAAATGGAAAGTGGTTCTCCATTAGCCCTGCACTGAAGCCAGACAGCCTGCCATTCAAGACTACACAGTCTGGCCCAGCCTCCCCTCACAAATGGCAATAGTCCTCCTTTGCATCTAAGCAGAGCAGCTGACCTCACCTTGATACTTTCTTGGGCCCCCTTGATGTGCCTATCATAACTCTACCAACCCTTCCAATCCTTCTCTTCCAAGAAACCATCTCAAAAAAAAAGGCTTCTTTGATCACCCTTGTCCACACCGATGTTTCCCATCTCCAGCTGCAATTGCAGCTAGAGACAGGACTACCCTTCTGAACTCTGTGGTTTCATTCTGTGCACAGGCTGTCTTCCCAGTTGCACAGGCTTCCTGACCTGAGCTCTTGACTGGCCTCTGTGCAATGACTGGGAGGAATAAAGGAGACAACTGACTTACCTCTTCGGCTTTTTGTTTTTTGCAGTGTTGGGGAATCATACACCAGACTGGTGAGCATGGTGGGTAAACACTCCACCACTGAGTTACAACCCCATCCTACCCTTCCTGTTGCACCAGGCCTCAGAGGGGAGCCCAGCATGATTTTGAGGAGCCGGTGAAACGCAAAACTGACCATGGAAAAATTGTTCTTTTCAAACTTTGCTGTCTTTGAAGCTGCCTGGCTTTTTAATTGACTCATGGCTCTGTATTTGCTTTCTTGACCCCTGTAACCATGAGAGTGTAACCTAACATACATGATACCTGATTGTACCAAGTTCTGTGGTCATTAATCTAGTCTTGTAACTGATGGTCATGAATTTAGCCCTATAACTGATTAGCTGAATTTTTTTTTTTTTTTTTTGGTACTGGGAATTGAACTCAGGACCTTGTGCTTGCCAGGCAGGCGTTTGTGCCACTGAGCTATATCCCTGGCCCTTAGCCTGTAACTGATGATCTCACCTTGCTAGCTAATAAGAACTGCCAGCCTGCCCTGTCCTGCCTTTGTAACCCCTGTTTATGCCTCATATAAAAATGCTGGCTCACAAACACTCCCTGCCTGGCTTTTGTTGGAAGTTATTCCAGCCACAGGTGTAAAATAAAGCTATTCACGGACTCCTGACTTCCTTGGGTATCCATTCCTTTCCTGGACTCAGTTTTGCTACAACATTGACACTGCTGCTGGGCCACAGTGTTAAGACGTGCACAGGCCTTTTATCTCCTGGTGACCCTCAGCCTCCACATCAAGCTGTGCCACCATGGTTTGACAACCTGATGTTACTGGTGGGACAGCAGGGTAGGGTGCTGGAAAACTTTGGAGTGTGAGGAGGCTGTTCACAGGGGAAGCTACATCATGCTGCAAGAGGTGAGCACCAGGTCTCCTTACCCAAGAGATTTAATGGCAGGAAGGCAGTGAGCCACGCCTCTATGATGGCCAAAACCTGCAGCAGCATCAGGCCCTCTGGTATGGGCATGAGGAGCTCTTCAGGGATGATGACATACTGAACCTGGCCCCCAGGGGCAACAGAGCCATGGCTGAGTCCCCAACCTTCCACAGCCCCTGGCAGCCAGGTCCCAGCTCTGCCACATGTCTTGATGCTTTGAGTCCCCACATGCTGCTGGTTCATGGGGGAGGGCATATAGGCCCTGTCTCTACAGACAAAGGGTTACAAAGGGGTGCCCATGGCTAGAAATCTGTGTATCATCATTTCTGGCTTATCTTCAATATTCTGTGTCTCAGCCAGGTGTGGTGGTGCACGTCTGCAATCCCAGCATCTGGGAGGCTGAGGCAGGAGGATCATTGCGAGTTTGAGGCCAGCCTGGGCTACAAAGTGAGCTTAAGCCCAGCCTGAACTGCGTAGCAAGACCCTGTCTCAAAAAGGCAAAAAAAAAAAAAAAAAATCTGTGTCTCAGAAAATTCAGGAGGCAGTCTGGCTGAGGACTGGAAGGAAAGGAAAAGAAGGGGAAATTGGTTTTATGCAAACAAAAGACTGTAAGTCACATAATCAATGTACGTCATATTTTTACTTTATCTAAGTAATTTGTTTTAAAAATGAAGAAATAGGCCGGGTGTGGTGGCACACTCCTGTAATCCCAGCACTAGGGAGGCTGAGGTAGGAGGATTGTTCTGAGTTTGAGACCAGCCTGGGTTACAAAGTGAGCTCGAGTCCAGCCTGAACTGCATAGCGAGACCCTGTCTCAAAAAGACAAACAAATAAGAAAATAGAAAAATAAAAATGAAGAAATAGGCTTGGGCAGGGCCCATCCCTTTGTGGTTGTTGTTTGTTCTGTGGTGCTGGGGACCAACCCAAGCTCTTGGCACGCTAGGCAAGCGCTCTATCCCTGAGCTACACCCCAGCCCAGCTCTTTATTTTGTGCAAACAAAGCGGGCTGACCGCTTTTAGCTCTTAGGAGGCCCCGCACACTTGCGTCGTGTCCTGTGGGTTCACTGAGTCCCCCCCTGCACCTGCCCTGCACCTGCAGTAAATCTACCCTGTTCGGGGCCCTGGCCACCACCTTCAGGAGGACTTCGTCCTCGCCTGGGCTCGGCTTGCCCATCTCCTGGAGGCAGAGGTTTTCGGCTCACCCGGCTGGGCCAAGTGCACAGCTAGCCTGTCCCCTGAGGACGCAGGTGAGTGGGGTAGGCAGGGCGCCCCAGGACCCGGTGGAGGCCCCCCCGGACCGTCCGGCACGCAGCGCCCCCTGCAGCCCGCCCGCCCGCCGCCTCCAGCCCCGCCCAGGTCCGGAGCTGCACTCGACGAGGACACTCGCAAGGGCGGGCGGACTTCCCTCCTTGCGAGGGGACGCCCCAGCCGACCCGGGTCCCGAGCCCACGGGAGTGACTTCCTTACCACTAGCCGCGGCCCCTCCTCGACCCCGTGGGTTCGGGCGGCCCTAGGGGTGGGGCTGAGAGCTGTCAAAAATGCAAGGCTACGGTTAATTAGGCCTTCTTTTCCTAATCATTCTCTTGGGATGGCCGGAAAAGACGGTTCCAGCTCTCAGCGCAAGGAGCGCGAACTTCCCTCTCTTTGGGGAAGTAAGCCCAGCCTCAACCTAGCACCAGCGTCGGTCCATTTCCCGCAGACACGCCGCACTTTCAGCCCATTTATGCTACCGCTTTCGGTGTCCTCTGAGCGGGCATCTGCGAGGTGGGGTGGAAGTACCAGGCAGGGAGCTGCTGAAGAAAGAGAGGAACAATGGGGAGGCGGGGACACACTCTTAGGGTCCCATTGCCCCCACCTCTGCCGTTCTGGGAGAACGGTGCAGTCCCAGGAGGACGCTGCCTAGTGAGGCAGTTTTGTGGGGTTTTTTTTCCGGTACCGGGAATCGAACTCACGACCTCGCGCTTACCAGGCAAGCGCTGTCCCACTGAGCTAAATCCGAACCCCCCCATTTTATTTTTAATTTAAGTTTCTTCTGGATTCAGTTTATCATTGCAATATTTTAGTTTTTAATTATTAAACATAAAAATTTTATTGGGAAGATATCCATTTCTTAATGACAGTTAGTAGGGCTAATTTTTTTCAAAATAATCTGTGGGGAAATATTATTAGTTGCTAGAGTGGACAGGGTTCAATATTCTCTTTGTATTTTTCTTTTATTAATAGACAAGCTCTGAGAAACCTAGTTTGCATAAATTAGGTGAGAAAGAAATTCCATTATAGTAATGCCAGCTATTTCTTTGAATACCTCTGAGTTATATGAACCATATAATGAGCTATCATCAAAAATTGCTTTCAGTGATCTATTAGTTGACAATTTAATTAGGTCTTGCTTCAATTTGTTGAAGGCAGAGACTTGGAAATCATCCAGTCTGTACAGGATTTGTCTTCAGTGCTAAGTGTCAGTTCGAGTTCTCAGTTTCTGGAATTATACCAACAAAGTTTTTTGAAAACTTTTCAAATGATTATTAATCATCTGTTATTTTTTCACTTAAGGACATCTTATTTAAACGAAGGATTTAAACCTCAGGAAGGATTCAAAAAGTACAAATGTTAATTCTGATACATTTTTGCTAAAATACTTTTTATTATACTTGCCTTATCACATCTTATATATTTTTCAATAACACATTAGCACTGCAGACTTAATTCATTTATGAAAAACAGCTGCTGTGGAAAAGGACATTCTTTAGTTAGAGAAAGCACTGAGGACACACAATGATTTGTTTATTGTTTTTAGGGTTTCTTAAGATAAGGTTTCACTATACAGCCCAGACTGGCCTTGAGTTTACGATCCTCCTGGATCTGCCTCCTGAGCACTGGATGACGTGTGGAGAAGGACATTCTTTAATTACTCTTTCAATGCATTGTCTCAGGTCTGATCAAGCGGTGTGATTGTTTAGTTCTGGAGGAAGTCTAGCAAAAGCATTGGTGGAAAAGATAAGATTGCAAAACCTGTGTCCTTGTGGAAAGCTGTGAGGTCAACACTAAATGCTTTACTGAGACATGCCAGAAGGAGTGATAACATGATGGATTACTAAGTCAAATCTCATACTTATGATAATTGAGTTGTATTGTCCTTGCTAAGACATTTGATATCGGCCCATGTGTACTAGCTGCTTCCTTCGTTCTCTCTCAATAAAAGGTGACTGAGATTGGTAATCGAAGCCGCAGTCCGAGAGGCTGTAAGCTCCCTGATCCCAGAACTTTGTCTCTCTTGTTTTTCTTATTCCTCTTACTTTTCTTTTCATCCACGGGTACCTCGTTCTTGGGACCTGTCACCCTGGACAGAAACAGAACATATGACAATCTGCGACAGTCTTATTGGCAAAGCCAGTCTTCAGTTAATCGAATCAAATCAAATGCATTCCTATGATTATTATGTATTTTTTGAGACAGGGTCTCCCTGTGTATTCCAGGCTGGCCTTGAACTCACTATGTAGCCTAGGCTGGACTCAAACTTGAAGAAATTCTCCTCCCTCAGCCTCCTGAGTGCAGGTGTGTGCCACGTATCTCCTACTAAATTTTTTTTTTGTACCGGGAATCGAACTCAGGACCTTGCACTTGCCAGGCAGGTGCTTGCGCCACTGAGCTATATCCCCAGCCCTAAATGTTTTTATAAAGAGTACCACTAGCCGGTCATGGTGGCGTACACCTGTAATCCCAGCACTTGGGAGGCTGAGGCAGGAGGATCTTTGTGAATTGGAGACCAGCCTGGGCTACAAAGTGAGCTCAAGGCCAGCCTGAATTGCATAGGGAGACCCTGTCTCAAAAAGAC